TAAATAATGCATCTTTACTTGTTGTTAAACAAATGTTTAAACAACTCTATTTATTCAACAATGCATCTTTTACTTGTTGTTAAACAAATGTTTAAACAACTCTATTTATTCAACAATGCATCTTTACTTGTTGTTAAACAAATGTTTAAACAACTCTATTTATTCAACAATGCATCTTTTACTTGTTGTTAAACAAATGTTTAAACAACTCTATTTATTCAACAATGCATCTTTACTTGTTGTTAAACAAATGTTTAAACAACTCTATTTATTCAACAATGCATCTTTACTTGTTGTTAAACAGATGTTTAAACAACTCTATTTATTAAATAATGCATCTTTACTTGTTGTTAAACAAATGTTTAAACAACTCTATTTATTCAACAATGCATCTTTACTTGTTGTTAAACAGATGTTTAAACAACTCTATTTATTCAACAATGCATCTTTGTTTTCAAATCAGTTCATCATAGGTCACATAGATAATTGATTTAAGAAAAATTTCCATAACAAAGTTATGCAGCCCTGACATCTACCTCTCAAGATAAACTACTACTAATATGTATAAAAGGAAACACAACTTTTACAGGAAGCAAACTTTCGTTATGTTGTAAAACAAGCGAGAGAAGTTCGAAACAAACAAACTATTGTTTGTTCTTATCGTCACTCTCGCCTCCCCCAGTGGCACAGCGGCATGTCTGCAGACTTACAACGCTAGAATCCAGGTTTCGATACCCGTGGTGGGCAGAGCACAGATAGCCCATTGTGTAGCTTTGGGCTTAATTACAAACAAACAAATTATAATTTGATCTTATCATCGCTCTCGATACGTCTTCACTTTTGAATAAAGTGTTTTATGTAGGGATGTTTGGCGGTGGGTGGTGATGACTAGCTGCCTTCCCTCTAGTCTTACACTGTTAATTTAGGGACGGCTAGTGCAGATAGCCCTCGTGTAGCTTTGCGCGAAATTAAAACAAAAAAACCTTAAGAATTATTAAAACAAACCTTATCCATTTAATAAAGAGACTGCCTCTGGCATGGAAATCCCTGAAATATTTTGTTGTTGTTTGTAGTTAAGCACAAAGCTACACAATGGATTATCTGTGCTGAGTCCACCAACCCATAAAAGGTAGTTTCCATTACATTTAAAATAGAGTTAATGACGTTTCAAATTTGGTCGTTCTGAAATCATATATGAAAACATAATATAGAGGGCAAATAAAATCGAAGTGTATGGTCATGCATCAGGAGCGTGGACATCCTTCAGAACTAAGTTGATACTAATTGTTTCTGGCTTTAATAACAATTTTGATGGTGAAATACACTAAAGAATTTTTTTTTACTTATTTTTTGTTTATTATGTTAGTTGTTAAAATATGACGTCTTCTGGTATGATGTGCTAGAACGTACATTTCTAATGGTTTTTGCCGCAGGAGGCGCTAAAGTCTGCATGGTTGATAAAAGGAACCGCTGCTGTGTGGGTGAATGGTGAGTTTGTCGGACATGGAGCAGACTTTGTTGATTGGTTGAGCAGGATGTTTGAGTTCGAAGGTGACATTTTTGAAGACTGTATCTTTAAAGACAAAGCTGAAAAAGACTATCAACAATACTTTTGCACAAGTAATGTAAGAATTTAAGAATTTGTCGCATGCATTTAATAGTAAAATATCCCTTTACACAATCAATCCAAGTTGTGATTATGTAACTCTACAGGGAGCCCTGAAATTATGTTACCAAATTTTATAACGGTTACTTCTGAATGTGTTAAACACTTCTTATGGGCTCTTGTCGCCCAATCACGATATTTTACATGTGTTGCAATATACCTTTGTTGATTTAATGGAATTACAACATCCATTGTTGATTTAATGGAATTACAACATCCATTGTTTGTTTGTTGGTTTAATGGAATTACAACAGCCATTGTTTGTTGGTTTAATGGAATTACAACAACCATTGTTTGTTGGTTTAATGGAATTACAACAACCATTGTTTGTTGGTTTAATGGAATTACAACAGCCATTGTTTGTTGGTTTAATGGAATTACAATAACCATTGTTTGTTGGTTTAATGGAATTACAACATCCATTGTTGATTTAATGGAATTACAACATCCATTGCTTGTTTGTTGGTTTAATGGAATTACAATAACCATTGTTTGTTGGTTTAATGGAATTACAACATCCATTACAGAAGACTTTCTAAAATAAGTTAAAATCTTGAAGGATTATCATAAAACAAGAAAAAAATGTGCAATTGTATGTTTAATAACTTTCAAACAAAACTAAAAATATCGAAGAATAGACTTGTTCTCTAAGGTATTCAGAACTCTGTGATCTCGCCAGGAATTTTCTGTATAATATGATGAAAATATTCCTGAAAAAAAAATGTAATTTAATTTAGCTGGTTTAAAGTAAAAATTTGTTAACACGCCAAGTTTAGCATCAAATAGAATTACTAATACCACAACAAAATAAAATTTCAGTGCCAATCCATAAACATTATTTCGTCAATAAATCAAATGTTTTCACGCTAATTAATTAGAAATATGACAGTATTCTTGCATCTACCAGTTTTTCTTATTCATTTCGATATGATCAATATGATTGAGGCAATATTTCAAGTTTTAACTTTGTACTTTAATAACCTTGTTTATATTGTTTATTACAATAACTAATAATAATTCCAATCTTCGCTTAGTTGTCATAATTTTAATTTTTTTTACTATCAGTGTATTACCAAAACAAAATCGTACGTATATATATAGAGAGAGGGGGAGGGAGAAATTTTGTTTTTATACTTTGTCTCCAAATATATAATAACTCAGGGAAATCACTAGCGATTAATTTTGTGTTATTGTTAATTTATTTATGTTCAATTGAGATTGAGAGTAATATACTTGAGAACTAGGGATAATTTACCCCAACTTATGTACAGGTATTCCTGTAAATAGCATAAAAAATAATCCAAGACATGAATTCAGTACTGATTTTTTTTTTCTAAATTAATGCTTAAGTTTTTATTACCAGCATGAATTTGTTTACATGGACATCGCTGATGATAATAAGATGATAGGTCGCCTGATTTTTGAGGTATGTACCTTATGTTTAGTATAATTTATGCAAATTACATCTTTTTTTTATTTTGCTGAGAAACAATAATTCCTGAAACTGAGTCAAAACTTAGCGTAGTTGTTTGATAAGCTTAAAATAAAGCTTTTGTTTGTTTTGATGAATTTCGCGCAAAGCTAATAGAGGACTATCTGCGCTAACTGTCCAATGAATAGTGGGATTTACCGTCACATTATAACATCCCCACGGCTGAAAGGTCGAACATGTTCAGCGAAGGGTTTCGGTCCCAGACCCGCGCATTGGAGCGCCTAACCACCGCAGTCTATACACACCAGAAATGTCGCTTATTTATGTGTGTGTGTGTTTGTTTGCCCTAAACTTTTAAACCAATCTCAAGCAAAAAGGCATGCACCCTAAAGGCCCCCAGGGGAGTGTCATGGGAATAGACATTGAAATCTGACACACTGAGGGTCAATATCTGTCTGTGTGTACGCTTTTTACGCCTATAGTATTTGATAGAGTTCTACCAAAGTTTTCATGCGCTCTTAGAGTCCCTCGGAATTGACATTGGTGGTCGGATCCGCCCCCATAGGTCACTTCCGGGGTCCGTACGTCTTTTCCGTGCGTTGAACTGTGTATATTTTTAGCAGACGTTTTATCATATATTTTATGTTATATGTTTAAATGCAGAATTGACAATAAAGGTGTGACTAACATAAAAAACAAAATTAAGATAAATGAAATGACATCTTAAAAAAAAAAACCTGAATGTAACAAGCAAAATTTATGAAGCAACGAAAGCTCATACAAAGATATGATAGTCAAAACTAGTCAAATACTGAGGAGTTAACAAAAAATTGAAGAACTTTAATACATAAAGAGACCGAAACATAAACAGTCGCTAATTCACGGCAACTTTATCATGCCCAGATGTGCTGTTCGCCCTTCATGATTGGAGAGGACCATCTTCAACGTCATCCATTGATTTTGTATGTTCGGAGGTGACTGATTAGCCCGATCCTGGCTTGAAAATATCTGGCGCAATGAGGGCATGACAATAGGGGGTGCTGGTGGGTTCTGATGGTTGCTTCCTATTACTTTACCTGCTGCACGCTTATTCTGGGCTGTCAGGATGCAATGTTGTTCATATGTGGCTACTCCCTTTGTGATAGCATTCCTCCAGGCTGGGAGGTTTGGGGCAAGAGTTTCCCAGGTTTTAGGATCGATGTTGCAGTCCTTTCGCGCAACCTCGAGTGTGTTCTTGTAACGCTTCTTCTGACCACCACCACGGGAGCGTGCTCCGGTATGTAGTTCATCGAAGAAGATGCGTTTGGGAAGGCGATTGTCTGGCATTCTGACAACATGGCCGGCCCAGCGGAGTTGCGTCTTCTTCTTCAGCAGATACATAATCGAACATTCAAGAGAAATGAGCTGCAAAGTTTCGAATGAATTATATTATATAATATAATGAAGTATTTGACTAAATCCTAATAAAAATTGCTAATAAAATGAAAAAAGCACGATGAAATTTGGGACAGTTAAGAAGTGTGATTAACAATAAAAGTCGATAGATAACAGGGAGACAGAAAGGTGAAAGAATAACTTTTTTAAGTGTTTGTGAAAAGACGGAAATTTAGAATGAGATTTGGGAAATCTTGAACTTGCTGCTCAGTTTTTCAGATTTCCACCACATTCTTTTTTCCACTTTA